TAGCTGCCCCTGATTTTTTTTTTTAATTGTCAACCACATGTACAAAATATTTATAGCAGCTCTTTTGGTGGCGGCAAAGAATTGGAAATCAAGAGGATGCCCATCAATTAGAGAATGGCTGAACAAGTTGTGGTATATGAATCTAATGGAATACTATTGTGCTATAAGAAATAATGAGCAGGCGGATTTCAGAAAAAAACTGGAAATATTTACATGAACTGATGCTGAGTGAAGTGAGCAGACCCAGGAAAACATTATATACAATAATAGCAACATTGTGCAATGACTGACTTTGATAGACTTAGCTCTTCTCAGAAATACATTGGTCTAAGATAATTCCTAAAGACTCATGATGGAAAATGCTATCCACATCCAGAGAAAGACATATGGAGTGTGAATGCAGATTTAAGCATACTATTTTCCCTTTTTGTTTTTGTTTTTTATTTCTTGTGGTTTTTCCCTTTTGTTCTGATTCCTCTTTCACAACATGACTAATATGGAAATATGTTAAATATGATTGTGCTTACTGTCTTGGGGAAGGGGATTTGGGGTGGGGTTCCACTTCCAGGAGCCAAGATGGAGGAGTAAGAAGTAAGTCGCTCTCACTGTCCCTTATTAACCTCTGAAAGCCCAGAAAATATTGCCCTAGGAAAAACCCTGGAACAGCTGAACCAGAAAAAAACAGGGTACAGCAGTCCATTAGCCCAGGAAGCTTGAGGAATTAGTGGGAAAGGCCCCTCTTGCCCTGGGGGAAGGGGAGCAATACAGAATGGGAGGTATTTCAGCAAGCTAGCGGAAAGCCCCACCTCAGCATACCAGGGGGAGATCCTGAACCCCAGTGGTGGAGCAGGCAAACACCAACACCAGGACCCCCGAGTGCCTCAGTACGGGCAGGGGAACCAGTGGAAACTGGCTGGGAAAACCACCATGTGACAAGTCTTCCAGTGCCTCAGCAAAATTCTGGGAAGTGCAGCTCCAAGGGGGAAACCCCACCGTGAGAAATATCCCACAGCAGTGAAACATCCATCTGAAAGGAGCCAAAGAAAGCAAAAGGCCCCTAGGTTCAGTGTTGCTGATTTCAGCCCAATACCAGGTAAGCTGCCAGAACCCTACAGCCTCCAACTGCCAGCATTGGAGGCCCAGCATACTAAGCCAGTGACCAGGCCCTGGGCTCCCAACACAAGAAGCTTGGATCAGTGCCCCCTGGTCTCCAGCAGGAGAGCTCAATCTCTTTAAAGGCCAGGAAATAAGCAAACACCATGAACAAAAAGAAACTCACTATAGATTCTTATTATGGGAACAGTGAAAAATCAAGACAGAAACTCTGAAGAAGACAACATTGTTAACAAAACCACATCTGGAACCTCAAAAGGAAATATGAACTGGTCTGAAGCCCAAAAAGCCTTCTTGGATTAGCTCAAGAAGGATTTTAAAAACCAAATAAGAAAGGTAGAAGAAAACTTGGGAATAGAAATGAGAGGTATGCAAGAGAGTCAATAGCTTGGAAAAGGAAGGACAAAAAATAACTGAAGAAAACAACTCCTTAAAAAGCAGAATTGGCCAAACAGAAAAGGAGACACAAAAACTCACTGAGGAGAAGAATTCCTTAAAAAATAAAATGGGCCAAATGGAAAAGGAGGTACAAAATCTAATAGAAAAAAACAATTTGTTAAAAATTAGAATTGGGCAAATGGAAGCTAATGAGTCTGAGAGAGTGAGAATCAGTTGAGCAGAAACAAAAGAATGAAAAAAAGATGGAAATGGAAGGGGAAGGGAAAAGAGGGAGGGAGAAAAAAATATGGAACACAAAATCTTATAAAAGTGAATGTTGAAAGCTATCTTTACATGTAATTTGAAAAAATAAAATACCATTAATTGGAAAAAGAAATTGTTAAGCACCAACCATGTGATGTTTCCTTTGCTAGGTACTGAGAGCATAAAAATGAAACAAGATACTGTTCCCAAGATCACAATTTAGTAGGGAGAGTTGGGGGAATTATAGATAAATACATAGATAACTATCATATAAGCTACAATATGGTAAGTGTGCAGCAACAGTGTTACCTAATGGATAGATAGCTGGTCTTAAAGTCAGAAAAACCTGAATGTGAGTTATTCCTCTGACAAATACTGACTGTGTGACCTTGGAAAAGTCACTTACCTTTTCAGTGCCCTAGGCAGCTTTCTAAGACTGTAAGTTGCAGAGCAGAGACCAGCTGGCAAATGGAGTTTCTTCTCTGGGAGTTCCTTGTACCAATAAAATCACAGGTCTAGTCACTCAGTACCTTGAACCATCTTTGCTTTCCATTTTTCTTGCCTTTTCAGTTGTTCCAGTCATGTCTGACTCTTTGTGACCTCATTTGGAGTTTTCTTGGAAGATATTAAGGGGGTTTGCCATTTCCTCTTCCAGTTAATTTTACAGATGAGGAAACCGAGGCAAACAGGGTTATGAGAATTGCCCAGGGTCACACAGCTATTAAGAGTTTAAGGCCAGGTTTGAACTCAGGTCTTTCTGAGTCCAGGCCTCAGTTTCCTCTGTCCTGAGTCCTATCCACTGCGTTTCCTAGCTACCTCCTCTTTCTTGCCTCTCACACTCAAATCAGTTACCAAATCCTGTCATTTCCAATTTTACAATATTTCTTGTATCTGTTCTCCACTGTTACCAGTGTAATTTTTTTTTTTAATTTTTACTGCTCACTCTTACTATTGCAATAATCTGTGCTCCTGAGGAGCTGTCTCTCATGCCTTCAATGCTCTCCTTCCTCTTCTTTTCTCTACTTCTTCATTTCTCTGGGCCCCTTCAAGTCTCAACTCAAACCCTACCTTCTGTAAGAGACCCTTTCCGGTTCCCCCAGAGGTTAGTACCATCCTTTCTGAGCATACTTTCCATCCACCTTTCAATTACACATATCAATAGAGTTTGAATTTTTAAAAAATGAATGTGAAAAACTTTCTTTACATGCAACTGGGGAAAAAATAAAATATTATTTATAAAAAATAATGATGTTACAGATAATCCAAGATAAATGATAATCCTGAAATCATTTCTGTTTGATTTTTTCCCCATCTTCCTAAATCACTCCTCAGTTTAATTAATGGTAAAATGTATTATGGATCATTGGACCATAGTACTTAGAAATCAACATTACCTTAGAGATCATTTGGTTCACTAAGTGCATCCTACCCTCCCATCCTACCCCAGCTTTCCATTTTGTAGATGATGATACTGAGGCCTAGAGAAGTGCATCAAATGTCATTGGGGTCACACAGATAACTCTACTGTATCTTCCAGCTCTAAAGTGTTATTATCTTTATGCTATGTAGTGCAACTGATAGAGAGCTGATGTTTGAGTTGGAAAGAGTTGTGTTCAAGTCTTACCTTTAACATTGTGCTGACTCTGTGGCCCTGAGCAAGTCATTTAACCTCATAGAAGAGGCAACCCTGGTTAAATGACGTGCCCAGAGACACATAGCTAGTAATCATCTGAGACTACATTTGAACTCAGGTCCTCCTGACTCTAGGGCTGGTGATGTATCCACTGCGCCACCTAGTTGCCCCTGGAAATTTTTTAAGACAATAAATTGTAGCATAGTTGCTGACTTGTACTATTAGAGGGATTTTCCTTTTCCTCCTTGAGAGATCCAGTACTGATAAAATCACAGGTCCAGGGGAAAAAAGATTAAAAAAGGGGTTATTTTCCCTCAGATTAGTATTAATTTTTTTTTTTGTATTCTTGGAGCATACACAAGTGGATGGTGGGTGGAAGGCAATGCTGAGTGTCAGCAGGTACAGTTCTGCATGGCTAGGATGCAGGCACCTGTCAAGAAATCAATAAGCCCACTGGCACTCAAGCCGTGCCCACCACGCAATCACAAACAGCAAGAACGACTTAGCTGTCAAATAAGGAAGCGGTTATTACTAACAAGTCACATTCATATAGCATTCTAAGACTTACAAAGTGCTTTTCTCATAATAATCAGATGAATTCAACAGTACACATATTATTGTTACCATTTTACAGATTAGACTCTAACATTATGGTAGTCTCCGACTGCTATTTTGTAGAGAGAAACTTTATTCAGTTTCACAGATCAAATTTACATGCAGGACAATATGAATTAGAAAATTCCCCACTTTCAGCATTCATCTTGGTCACTGACTGGTTGTGTGAGCTTGGGCAACTTGACCTATTGGGGCCTCAGTTTCTCTATTTGTAAAATGAGTGGATTGAACTAGATGGTCACAAGATCCCTTCAGACCCTACCATTCTTTTAGAAGGTTCACTTAAAATGTCAGAGCTGGAAGGGACCTTAGAAATCATATCCACTAATTGCTTCCTAATGACCTGTTGTGTGAGCTTATATGTCTTCCTCAGGATCTAAGCATTTGGAAAAGGCCTCATGGAAGTATGGTCCATCCATGTATTCCTAGGGTAGGAGGATACTCAATAGTAACATGCCTATCTGTGGTTAAGGGACAACTAGGTGGTGCAGTGGATAGAGTACCAGGTCTGGAATCAGCAAGACTCATCTTCATGAGTTCAAATCTGGCCTCAGACACTTACCAGCTATGTGACCCTGGCAAGTCACTTCACCCTGTTTGCCTCAGTTTCCTCTGTAAAATGAGCTGGAGAAGGAAATGGAAAACCACTCCAATATCTTTGCCATGAAAACCCCCAAAAGGTTACAAAGAGTCAGACATGACTGAAATGACTGAATAACAAAAATCTTTGGTTAACAGGAAGTAACAAGGAATTTGGCCATGACTGGCCAGATTATTAGGAGTGGGAGACGCTGATCTGAAATGGCCTCAGTCAAGGTTAGCTAGATTCTTCTCTATGTGAGGCAATGTAATGTTATGAATAAAGAGTGGACACTGTGGTTCAGAGGCTCCTCCTTCTGTCTCTTGTACTTGGATGATATAAGGAAACTGTCCTGGGATGACAATGCTTCTATTGGTTGTTAGTTTTTTTTCTCAAAATAGCCTTTTTTCTTTTTAGGAAAAGGAGATGTGTTTGGAGATGTGTTCTGGAAGGAAGCCACGCTTGCCCAGTCCTGTGCCAATGTCAGGGCCTTAACCTACTGTGACCTGCATGTGATTAAGCGGGATGCCCTGCAGAAAGTGCTAGAATTCTACACAGCCTTCTCTCACTCCTTCTCGAGAAACCTCATCCTCACATACAATCTGAGGAAAAGGGTAAGTGAATTCTTCCAAGATTTGTCGGTGCAGTGTTGGGTCAGTGTCTTGACTGGAAAATAGTCAGTTGAAAGCTAGAGATCAGGACTTTGGCTGAGATCTCTTTGTTGCCTGATTCCCAAGGCCCACACTGTGGAGCAGATTGGCTTGGAATCTTTGCCCTTCTCAGTTTCCATCCTTGGCTCGTTCACCCTTCCTTAGGCAGCTTGGTGGCTTCCTGCTCCCAAAGCAGAGAAAAGCCTTTGGTAGAGGTGAAGAAAGAGTGTGTGTTCCCTGAGGAGGAAGAGGTGGGGTTTTGGGTTTGGATTTTTTTGGTATGGCCTTCTTCTGGTGACTCGTAGGCCCCAGGTCATTTTCAGAATGTCCAAAGCATAAGGGCTGTCAGCCTTGATTATCAGGATATGCACCTTCCAAAGATAAACTGTTATCTCCATGGTGATTGTGGTTTGTGGTGGGGCATGTTTGTTGTTAACAGGTTGGTAATGCAATAAAAACAGATGAGAAAATGATTTAATCAGGTCCGGGAAATGTGGAAGTTATGAAGTTTGATATCTCAGAGGATTTTTTTTTCTGTAACTGCCAACTCAGCTGGTTTGGAAAATGATTAACAATGTATGAGCCAGACAATTTTTCATCTGAAGTACTTTCTTTAAATCTCAAATCATCTGAATTGCTCCATTGATCTCAGCAAGTATTAAACTATTTGTCTTGTTTCCTTTTGATTTTCATCTCATTGGTTCCCATGCATTTCATCTTGCTTTCTCTCTATTAAATCAAGTCACAGGATAGCTAGCCCTGGTGCAGTACAGAGGCAGGGGGAGAAGACAGGCATCATTTTGAGTGATGGTTACAAGAAGCCAAAATCAGGCAGCGAGATTGGTTTGCTTTGTAGGATGCCCAATTTCACATCAGCATCAATCATTTCCTTTTGTTTGGCCATGTGTAATAGGGCAACCAGAGACTAGAGTCTAGTGCTGTTTGCCATCAACCAGCATCTCCTTACGCCTAGTCCTGTTTTCATCTTGGCCATTGACTGGTTGTGTGAGCTTGGGCCGCTTGACCTATTGGAGCCTCAGTTTCTCTATCTGTAAAATGAATGCATTGAACTAGATGGTCACAAGATCTCTTCAGACTCTACCATTCTTGTAGAAGTTTCACTTAAAATGTCAGAGCTGGAAGGGACCTTAGAAATTATGTCCACTAATTGCTTCCTCTTACATATGAGGAAATGGAAGACATTTTAGTCCACTCTCTGAGTTATCTTCAGCCCTGATAACAGAAAAAAAACTGGATTAAAAAGCGGAGCCACAACCCCCAATCCCAACTCCCGTTTGCAGAGTTCCTAGTTTTCCAGGTTCTCAAATTCAGTGGTAGACACAGGATCGTAAGATGTGGCAGAGGAAGGGGCCAAGTGTCACAGTGGATAGAGCACTGAGCCCAGAGTCAGGAAGACCTGAGTTCAAAGACCCTGGACAAGTTACCTAACTCAGGGGTAGGGAACCTGAGGTCTCAAGGCCACATGTGGCCTTCTAGGTCCTTGGGTGAGACCTTTTGATTGAGTCCAAGTTTTACAGAAAAAAAATCCTTTTGTTAAGGGGATTTGTTCTGTGAAGTTTGGATTCAGTCAAAGGGCTGTACTTGAGATCACATATAGCTTTAAGGCCACAGCTTCCCCACCCCTCACCTAACATCTGTCTGCCTTAGTTTCCTCAACTGTAAGATGGGAATAGTAATAGCACTTGTTTCACAGGGTTGTTGTAATGATGAAATGAGACATTCGTAAAGTACTTAGCACAGTCCTGGCATATAGTAGGTGCTTAGTAAATGCTTGTTTCCTTCCAATCCTATAAATTTTCCTTTCTTCCCTTCCTTTCCTTAGGAAAGAAAAAAAACATCTAAGGACCAGAGGGGAAAAAATATTTTGCCTACCATCAACTTCTGGCCTTGTTTTATGGACCTGAAATAAATATGTATTACTTCTTAGTGACTTGTGTGCATGTATGTGTGTGTGTGTGTGTGTGTGTGTGTGTGTGTGTGTGTGTGTGTGTTGAGACTCAGTTTCTCTGTCTCACCCAAACTGGAACTACTCACAGGCCAATCTTCTAGCTGATTGGCTTGGAATCTTTGCCCTGCTCAGTTTCCATCCCTGGCTCGTTCACCCTTCCTTAGGCAGCTTGGTGGCTTCCTGCTCCCAGAGACTCAACTCTGTGGATGCCAGACCTAGTGAGGATGCCAGATCAGCGTTAGCCCTTAGCTTTAGCCCAGCACAGAACCTCTGCTTCAGCCTGGCTGGTAGCAGGCCTGTGCCAGCACTCCTGGCTTTAGAGGCTTACTGTTAATTGACTCTTAAAAGACCCACCTTCTTGACATTCTGCTTTATTCCTAGTTTCCCTACTTAAAAATCAAAGAATCTCTTTGGCCAAGGTTTGCAGTGATTTTGCCTTCGTGGCAGTCTCTCAGTTACTGTGATTCCAGATTTGAAATATATATATTTCCTGAGAATCACCAAGGGGATTACTGAGTTATAGCACAGCCCTTGTGTGTTTTATGGGGGTGACTCGGTCTTTACTCTTTAGCATAGCTTCCTGATGTGTGGGAGCTCAGGACATTTGCTAGTGGGCTTCTGCATAGGGATCTTTAGCCAAGTGGCTTGGTTCCTTTGGGGAGGTGGGGCTGGGACAGGGTGGGGGAGTATGTGTGAAAGCAGTCATTGATTGCAATCAGCATTCAATGTTGCTGAGAACACAGGTGGGAAAAAAAACCCAACAAAACAGTTCAGGTTGCCTAGGGAAGACATAGTCATTGGGGATGGCCTGCAGATCAAGTTCATCTATTTTCAAATAACAGTTTCAGAACATTTTGCTTAGCATGAGATAGTTGACTTGCAAATGGATCAAGTGAAGTACAAATGAGATCATTTATCAAAAATCATGTTGTTGTTCAGTTATTTCAGTCGTGTCCGACTCTTCATGACTCCATTTGAGGTTTTCTTGGCAAAGATATTGGAGTGGTTTGTCATTTCCTTCTCCAGCTCATTTTACAGATAAGGAAACTGAGGCCAACAGGGTTACGTGATTTGCCCAGGGTCACACCGCTAGTGAGTGTCAGGCTGGAATTGAACTCAGGAAGATTAGTCTTCCTAACTCTAGGCCTGGTGCTCTCTGCACTATGGCGTCACTTAGCTGCCCAGAAGGGACCTTAGATGCCCTCATTTTGTAAATTAGGACACTGAGCTCCAGAGCAGTTGTCCAATGTTATGTAGGTAGGAAGTGTCAGAGGACAGTTCGAACCCAGGGGCTTCTTCTCCAAAGACAGGTGCCCCTGCTTTACATTTACCCGTCACATGCGCCTTCTTGTTAGGCGATAAGAACTTGCGGTTTTCAGCCTTACTGCTGTAGTTTCTCATCGTGACCCTCTGAGAATTAATTCATAGTTATACAGGGCATGGAAGATGAGAACATTACATGCAAGAATTACTCTTATAGCTATTTTTCTCCTGGCAGAGTGAAGTGTATTCTTATAGCTGTTTATATCTTGGCCAAATTAAGTGCATTCTTTGCAAAGATGCCGGAGAACACAGTGCTTTCTGCTCTACTTTGGTAAATCTGTTTTACAAAGAAGCCAGTGTGTTTGTTCATTGGCATTATGGACCACATGTGCTCCGAACCGAAGGCTTTTATTTTTCTTTGCAAATGGTGCATTTCATTCTATCACGTCAAGAAGCTTAAAAAATGAAGAGAAGGCGGGTGTTTAAGGACACGCTTACCTGGAGAGGCAGACGCTCTTCAGAATGTGAGTGCCAGGAAGGGGACAATCTCATGGCAATAATTTGTCTCTCTACGCTGCATGGGAGCCTGCCCAGCTGTGCTCCAGCTCTGATTCAGTATAGATAATTGTGAATGGTCATTGGCAACAGGTTCCCTTGTAACTACATGTAGATCTTTGCTCACAGAAGGAACTTGGGATGCCCTAATATTCCTGGGAAAAGCACCAGCATCCTGACCCTCAGCTCTGAAACATCAGAGAGGTCAAGGTTATCATCATATTTTTGCTTTGGCTGTGACAAGGCCCTTGACCAAATTTCTTTGACGGAGAGAGAGACTGAGGCAATTTGATAACTTAGATAAGGTTACCAGAGTTAAGAGACTATGTTTGAGAAAGAGCATAAGGCCCTCCTTCTCTACTCTACCCCCACCCATCCCACAGTGTAAAATAGCTAATGAAGAGGAATTTGAGCCTTGGGTAATCCAAGACAGATGGAACCATGGGCTGTCAGTTCCTGGTCATTCCATTCTATGTGTGCTCTTTCCATTGGTCTTTTTCTGTGCTTGAGAAATGATCCAACAAAGATGTATTAAGAGCTCATTCTGTGCAAAACACTATGCTAGGTCTGGGGGAGACAAAAATATAAAGGAAACACTTTCCAGGAAGTTGACATCAGGGCATTGAACACATAGCACATATGTAGACTTGGGGCTCACTCTGCCAACCCCACTTGCATTGGTAGGTTGAGTCTCTCTCCAGAGCTTGACTGCCTCTCCCCAAAATGGTTCTAGGCGTTGGCTTAGAGATAGTGGGGGGGGTTCTTTTAATGCATAGTAACTCTAGTTCACTTAGTATAATTTACAGAAATTAAAGTATCAATTAAAAGTTAAGTATCAATCATGTACAGAACACCATACTTTCACACATTTTTCAGTCAATGATTAGACCTCTTTATTGGTAGGCAACATTAACAACCTCTTATTCACTTCTACTTATCTCCTGTTGGGGCCATCCTACTATTGCCCTCATTTACCTTACCAATAGCTCTGTCAGAGTCTCATAAAGTGAACTTTTTTTTTTCATTTGTCTTTATAATTTATCTCCCCTTTAGTTTCATTCTCGATGTTGCTCAGCTTTTTAGGTTCTGGGAGATTGGTTCCTTCTGCCTCAGTGATGAGAGTTTGGAATTTTTCCCCCACTAAAATCATTTGGACGGTGAAAGAGATGTACCATAA